TCGGGGCTCATGCCCCGGCGTTCAGCTGCCTCTCCAGGGCCGCCGTGTGGCCTTTGGACCAGCAAGCTGAAGCGGAAAACAAGGTCTGAGAACTTGCAACTTGAGAAGATGATGGTTACCTGCTCTGCATTGCCTCAGGGAAGAACAGGAACTACTCTACCATTCTTGAAGTGAAGGTACTTAATGAGAATAGGACAGTGTGGAATGGGGTAAGTGAAGAGAGGAGGGTGGAGAGGGATGGCAAGTGAACGGTGGAGAGACGGGACGTTGGTGAGAAACAGATAGGGCTTGTTGACTGTTGATGACATGTATGGAGTTCTCGACTGGATTGGTCTGAGAGGTGTTTCATGACGGGCGAAGGATTTTTGCAAGCAAAACGAGAAATAGCAATTGACTGTTTTATAAAAATAATTAGAATAATAAAGATAATGATTGGGGAAAACAGAAGGGATGTGGAGTGTTGAAGTGGGGAGATTGGTGTCTCTGTGCTGACTGGCGTGCATGGCATTCCCTTTTGAGGAAACGGTGTAATACACTGTGGAGTTGTGTGTAATCCAATGTAATGTGAAGAAGATATGATGATTAAAAAAAAAAAAAAGATGGAGTAGGAGAACCACCTCCATACTTGGGACAGTCTAAAACTTCATTTTACAAAGTGGTTCTCAGAAGGGGGAGGGGGCAATGGCACTATCCCCCCTGCACCCTTAATCACTGTCTAGCGAAGGCTTTGAGGAGGCATCGCTGGACTCCTAGTTGAACGGGTGATTACAGCCAACAATAGGCAAGGGCAACAGTGCTGTAATTAGGAACTTGCCCCAAGGCGCATTAGCCGGAGCTCGGGTTTAGGGAGACAAACCAGCGCCATATGCCAGGTGCGTCTCTTCCGTCCGTGGTCTTCCTGTGGTTCCCAGAGCACTTTCCTCTCCCCGTTCTGCAGAGCAGGTCTACCAGCTGGCTGAGGGCCTAGCAGCAGGTTACTTTGCACTGCTCCTGGGTTCCGGGTTTGATTTTGCCACTTAATCTGCGACAGAAGTTGCCTTACATCTTGGGGTCTCAATGATTCTAGCACCCAAATCCTGGACTTCCCTTTCTAACTTTGCTGTTTTTAGCCGACGATTGCTATCCTTTTTTTCTCTCCTTTTTTTTTTAGAGGTTTTTGCCTTCGAGTGCATGTGCTCACAGAATAGACAGGGAAAGTGAGAGATCACCCTGCTGGGGGATGGCCACTCCTCAATCCCTTCTCCCATGTTCTCTCAGGATCTTGGGCACACAGGGACATGTACCTAATGTGATTTTCAAGCCACCAGGTCTCGGACCCAAACCCTGTTGGCCATGTGAGAATCCAGCACCCTTAACCACCACGCCACCTGTCAGCCCCAAGTAGATCATTCTTTATAAAAAAAATTTTTTTAACTGGGACCAGCAGTTAGTGTAATGGCTATGTCGCTGGATTCCCATGTAGTCGGACCATGGTTGGCATCCCGGACCCGGTGGCTTAAACTCATGCTGGGCGCATGTGTGCATGCGTGCCCAAGATCCCGAGAAGAGAACAGAGGAGAAGGGATTGCTGCGTGGCCATCCCCCTGTGGGGATGTCTGTCTTTCTGGCGAGCACACGCGCCCTATAGCAAAAATCTCTCCAAAAAAAAAAAAAGATATTTTTTAAAATATAAAATATCAGCCATGCCTTGAGCGCTTCTTGGTGCCAGGCAGTCCTAAGCCCTGATAAGCTCCTGATGTAGCTGTGATGAGGTACCTCACCACCTCCTCTGGAAGGCGGGTGGCATTCTAATTTAACAGTTGAGGAAACTGAGGCTGAAAAACAGTAAACTTTTCCCAGGCCAGATGGCTGGAGGTTGGTGGTACTGGCACTCAGACCTGCCAGCTGTGCCTGTCTGGTCTGCTCTGAGCCACCACACTGCTCTGGCATCGATACATCCAGGCGGCACCTGGGGAGGCTGGGAGTCCTGCTCAGAGGGGCATTAAGCCTCTGCTATGTGCCAGGTACTATACTAGGCACTAGGAGAACACATTGTGTCCCTAACTGGCTTGAAACCTGAAAATGTTGGGGCTGGCAGGTGGCTGGACTCCCACATGGACTCTCACCTTCTGTCTCAATCTCTCTAGCTCTGTCCCTCTCTGGTCAAATTAAAATAAATAATTTTTTTTTTTTTTTCTTTTAGGAGAGATTTTTGCTGTATGGTGCGTGCGCTCACCAGAAAGACAGACA